TTTATTTTTCTTCAAGGCGTTATAGATATCCAGGGAATAATCTCTGTCTCATATATATATCATTCTAGTAAACATGAACAATAATAAATATAATGTGTATACAAGAACGTAGGAAGTTTGCGTCTAATCAGGCTGCTCGGTATAAAATAGCGCATTTATTATATGGCATCCTCGGCAACAGCTCCGTACAGATTTGTTTCTTTTGATTTCAAAAGACACTCGTGTCTTCTCGCTCGCTCTCCTCCTCCTCTCTCCCTCTCTCTCTCTCTCTCTCTCTCATTCTCGCTCACCCTCTCTCTCTCTCTCTCTATATATATATATATATATATATATATATATTTGAGTACGTACTTACACTCGACCGCACAAATCCTACGCCCCCGACTCGTCGCCGACTCGCCGGACTTCTCGAGTGCGCGCGCGAGATCGTAAAGCGTACATAAATATTCATAGCGCGAAGTTTTCCCGACGAATATCCCACTCACCCCCGTCCGTCGGCGTCTGAGACCCCGAGACTTCGCCGTCCGGACTTCGCGGATCGGAGGACCGACGTCGTCGGCGTCGACGAATCGCTGCGAATAGCGACGAGTACATGCATTCTCTCTCTCTCTCTCTCTCTCTCTCTCTCTCTCTCTCTCTCTCTCTCTCCCTGCTCTCTTTATTGTTCCACCGCGAATCCTCAGAATACACAACGACCAAGCCACACACTATTCCCTGCCACATGAAATCGTAAAGTATCCCGAGATCGATCATCGCAAACGCGCCTTCATACATCCATCGTAACGCGAGATGCGGGCGAGGTAGGAACACGTCGCGTAATCTCGGATCTTTCCGACCGACGTTTCGCCGATTAGAATCCTTGCCGGTTCCGCTTGCGTCGCAGCGGCACAAGCGCGGGTGATACGAATATCGCGCACGGCGTGCGTATCTCCGTTCATCACCAAGCCCGAACGGCGCCTGAACGGCGCGTCTCCGAATTTCCGTCGCGCCGTGTTCCCACTAGGGACGCCGATTTTGAATCGATTTTGAATCGCAGATCGATTAATCGGGACCTAAAAGATCGATTTCAAATCGATTTTCTGGGACTGAATCGATTCAAGGCTCGATCTGTAAATTCTGAAAATCGCCAACACGATATTTTCAGTTTCTACTAGTAATATAGTTATTTTTTAATTTTTTTACCTGTAACATTTGAACTCATTCAATGGAACGCACAATGCACATTACGTTGCCCTTAAGCCGATGTCCCATGGGCGAAAATTTTCAGCGGAACAGAACCACGCGCCAACCAATTACAGCCACTCCATATAATAGTGTACATTGTATACATATGCATATGTATATGATATAAACGTATATATGTATATGATATAAACATACGCATATGTATATGATATAAACGATTTCTTATTTAATAACGTTCGAAACGTTAAAAAGATTGACGTTTAATCAAACTAATGAAACCCTTAGCATAAAGATTTAAAGATCTTTTTCCATCCTATTCTGGCCACACACAATCAAAAGAGTACCATCTGTTCAATTTCTTTAATTCATATTAAACTTTATATGAATTACACAAGGTCTACTTTAGAGTGTAGAAATTTGACAGATGGTATACTTTAATGAGCGGCTCGCTCTACATGCGTACCGATTCAAATCGATTTTCTTCAAGTCGATTCTTTATAAACCGATTTTTCGAAGATCGATTTTTTCCCCCGTGATTCGAGTCGAGCTTTAAATCGATCTGTTTGAAAAAAAAAATCGGCATCCCTAGTTCCCACCTTACTGCGACTGATTTTAGCTTTCCGCGCTAAATCCCACGGCGACGACGGGTACTTGTTCCCCGAAATGATACGACAGAATGTCGTCTACTTGCAGAAGACAGCGAATCGCGCCCGCGTTAGAGGGGGCGTCAAAGGCGACGAAAGATCTATCAGCGCTACTCTATGAGAATCGACAGCTCCGCGCGCGAGTGACGCAAGCGCGATTAATCGGGAGCGATATCGCAATTACGTCGCCCGCGCTCGCGAGCGCGGCTTTATCGCGAACTCACGCTCGCGTTATTGCCAAAAGAACGTTCGACATGCGATGACGATGACGACTGCGCCACGGCCAGATGCTGCTGCGTGCAAACGGACACGATGACTCGCAGGAAACTCTTCGTTTTCTCGAGCGACGCGATTCAACGTAGGAGAGTGATTTTCGCGGCCTCTCCTTCTCCCCCCTCTGCCTCGCTCTCTTCCTCTCCAACGGACACTTAGCCGACGTATCCGCAGGGCTATCGACTATCTATCAGCCTCATCGCACGGCGAGCGTTACAGCTACTCACGCGGCTCGACGAACGCTTCGTGTACATGTCGCGGCAGCTACGCAGCGCGCTACGTCGCGGCCATAAATATTATTTCATTGTCGTGAACGCGTGGCGAGAGAAACGGGGCATCGGCTGAATGTTTAAACTCTCTATTGATCAATCGATGGTATCTCCCCCCCCCCCCACCCGATTTTCGCGCGGCTCTCCCGCGCGTGAAGAAAGAGAGATCGTTTGAACTTCGGTCAACACGAACTAATATTTACGGTAACGACTGCGCGAGAGATAACAAGCCGAGTTCCAGCGTCCGAAAAAAAAAAAAAAAAAAAAAAATTTTTCCTCGGATCCGCGCAACATTCGATCCCCGAAAGCGTGACCATTCGATACCAGGTTTGTCCGTTCTTCCGTTCCAGCGATCATGGCATTTCGCGCTGCAGAATTCCGACTTTTAAATCGCTTCTAGTTCACTTATTTTACATTCACTCTCGCCCCTTCCCCGCGCTCTTCCCACCCCACGTATACCTCTGCATGTGCGCGTACGAGTGAAGATCCGTCGTGTTTTCCTATTTATTTATTCATTTATTTCCCGTTACCGTGACCCAGTTGCTTCGCCAGCCTCCGTGTCGAGCCGCATTGCGCGATACGTCATACACGTAATTACGTCTCGGCGTAATGCCTCCAGCGCAGCCCCGAACATACATAATTTCTGGCGGGTACGAGCCGCCGCAAGACGCAAGTCTAATTTGTCCCTAACGAGAGAAACAGCCTATCGAGGATTGGAAATGTACAGCTTAGCGCTAATAGAAAAAACGACGCTAATGAAGAAGTCCCTTGCGACGCGTGCGCAACAATCTAAGTGATTACGAGAGTAGGTGGACGCACCACGCGTGTCGTTACTTTACGCAAGCGACTGACGTATCGAGCGTATCCGCTCGACACGACACGAGCAAGCGCGACGCACGAGCATCGTTATAGCCGAGTAAACGATTATTGCCAAAAGGAGCTGCGTACAGTAACAGTCGTTGAGTAACTCCGATGCTCTGCGGTCACCGAACGAGCGAGATCGTTCGTTCGTTTTCGGCAGTGACGAGGTTTCCGTTTGGCACCTTACCGCCAAAACTCTCTTCGTTGCAAGAGCGATGACAGTCGCGGGAGGAGCCGTGCGCGCACACGGATGGATCCCCCTCCCTCCCCCTCCCCCTCCTCCACAAGTCTCTCCGAGAGAGAGTTCGTTGATGTCGTCTCGTTTCTTCTCTTCTCCGTTGCTTCCTTTTTTGTTCCTTTCTTTTCGTTTTCCAGTTCGTGGGACATCGCGAGTGTACGTGCGAGTGATCACGCGATCTGAATTGGAATCGAAGGAAAATAGAGTTGCGCGCGCGATGTACTTAGCCGGCTAACGAACGTTACAGCACGTTACACAATGAAGATACGAATACGATTCTTAAAAGCGCTAAATCCGCCCCCCGTCCTCGAGAGCTCCTCTCTTACTCCTTCCATACATATACGCTTATTAAGAGTGAGTAGAAGATCGATAATATTGCTGGGAGATTGAGTGGAGCCGAAAAGCGAAAAGCGTCAAAATGGAACGTTGCTCTCTGAAGTTACTCGGCGACACCAGGGATTAGATCTAAACACACGAGCTCTCTCCCCCCCCCTCTCTCTCTCTCTCTCTCTCTCTCTCTCTCTCTCTCTCTCTCTCTCTCTCTCTCGCTTTCAAGCCGTCGGAATTATACCCAGCATCAATCCCTGGATCGACCGAAAGTCGACGCGCTTAATATAATACGCAGCGCCGCGAGTGCGTACGTGATTAATACCGGTTCATAATTAACGGCGCACACTCTCTCTCCCGGTAACGCGCCGAGGACTGCGCGAAAATCGAAGCGCGAGTCGCCTGCGGCTGGCCGTCGCGACGCGTGCGGAGCGCGACCGAAGAAGAAAGCGTTTCCTTTTTCCCTCCCTCTCTCTCTCTCTCTCTCTCTCTCTCTCTCTCTCTCTCACTCACTCACTCTGTCTCTGTCTCTCTCTTTGTTTTCTCTCTTTAGCGTTCGCTCGCGCGAACGCAGAAACGCCGTTATTCTTCTCGCGAGAGCCGCGCGCGCGCGCGCGTATTATCTTCGTGTACATCCGTCTCGCTTCGCGAGTCCTCGCTCGCTGGGCGCCAGGTACGCGTTTATAATACCGGGGAATATCATTTTTTAGGAATTAATAACTTCCCGGGACTAGATCGGCGCGGAGAGCTCTCGTTATATTAAAAAGTTCGGAAAAGTTGGTGCTCCGAAATAGTATATTAACTCTCCGCGGCTTTTAATATCCCTGCCTACGCGAAAATCAGGAACAGTTGCATTTCGCGTGTAACGATCCGCGAAATGCAGCCAACTGCGGCCTTAAAAAGCGCACGAATTCGCGCTCGTGGCGCCGCGCCGGTGGCCGGTACGAAGGTAATATCGACAACTGTACACAGATTTTTTTCTCCCTCCTTCCTCGTTTTTTTTCTCGTTTTTTTTTTCTTTTTTTCCTTTTTCGGTTTTATCAGCCCACACAAAGGACTACGCGAGTACGCACCACCGCCGGAATCAGTTTACAGCCATTCGCATTTGTGCATAGAATTAAAGCGCCATTGTCGAAACGGCATTGTACGATCCGCGGCTCTTCTAAAATGGTCGGCCTTATTACACACAAAATAACAACATGCTAACAAAACATTATATTTTATTGTCTCAGCGTTCGGCGAATAATAACAAAGGGCAAAGGAAATGTACAGAAATAAATCCATATAAATTACACGACGTGATGTCTCGTGACGAGATCTCTTTTTTTCCTTCTTTCTTTCTTTCGTTCTTTCTTTCTCTTCTTGAAAATGTCGCGCCGCGCGATACTGAGTCCGCGAACCTCGACTTCCGTTCAAGGAGATATAAATGCGCCCGGCGAATCGCAGCGCGCAGCGGCGGCTTTGTAGAGTTAATCGACGACGCGTCAAGACGCATTTGCTATGCAAATTTGATTGGTATAAAGCAAACGAAACTCTCGCGTTTATAGGATTGACGTACACGTGATAAATGCACTCGATTATGTAATCACACACGACACCGCATAAAATTCGCAAGCGTCAGCCTGAAAAATGGCGCGACCACTGGCGGTGCTTGTCGCCTTTAGAGTCGTGCGCGGCGAGAACCTCAAACGGGAGGATTCGCGTTCAAAAGGAGCAAATCATATCTATAAGAAGGACGATCGCTATGCTAATACGATAATCATCAAATGTACAGATCACAATGACGAGAAGATCACCCGCACAATCTCTTTGGTACTGATAAGAGAAACTGATTCGCGGTGGTTCGTGTAATTTCCACGTGTACGCTCGTGTTTGTGTGTGTATGTGTGTGTATATATATATATATATATATGTATATATGTACAAATATATGTATAATATACGTACTCTAAAAATTGTATATGATATCGACAGCCCGAGTCTGACGGCGCCGTCGGTACCAACGGGGCACACGGTTAAACTCTATACCTTCGCGAAGGAAAGAAAGGAAAATGGGAAACGAAGAAGGAAGCGCGGTGGCGCGAGACGCACCGCGCCTGAATATCTCGATGATAAACATCCGGAACGAGCAAAGTGCTTCCGCGTTCATGCTTGGTCCGAGGAATCAATCTTTTCGTTTTGTGCGATTTTCCTGTCGTCACACCTCTCTCTCTCTCTCTCTCTCTCTCTCTCACTCTCTCTCTCTCTCTCTCTCTCTCTCTCTCTCTCTCTCTCTCTCTCTCTCTCTCTCGAGGAGCCACCGCGCGATACCGCGAAGACGTGTCTCGGCGCGAGTTTGTCTTTCGGCTCGACGCGACGCGCGCGTGGAAGGTTAGGGTGGAGCCACCAAAGGACGCCATTGATGCAACTTCTTGTATGCCCTTATTAATATCTCCGCAGTTTCTCGTGCGGTTCATCACTGCTGCACCCGATAGTCCTCGGCTCGTTTCGGCGAAAGACAAACGAGGCGAGATCGAATCGAGCGGGCATCGCGTGCGACGGAGTCTCGCGCGCTGGCGCTGTCTCTCTCTCTCTCTCTCTCTCTCTCTCTCTCTCTCTCTCTCTCTCTCTCTCTCGCATCGTTCGCGCCTTCTCCGTCGCACTCGCGGATTCTCGCTCGCGCGAACAAGCGGATCGAATCCGCCATTTTCTGCGTAGGGTCTGTCGCGAACGCGCAAATGATCGCGCGCGATCGTCGGCGATAGAGACGGCACGCTTCTTCGTCTACGTACCTGCTCCTCCTCCTCCTCTTCCCCTCTTGCTTCCTTATCGTTTTCTATACGTATCATATCGTTAAATATCGACACATTGATAAAACATGCTCCCTACCAACACTACTGACTAAACATAGCTGCTACATGAGTACATCGAATGCGAATTTGAATACTTGGGTAATGTCTCACGAAGAAGGAGAAACGCCGCCCGCACGGCTGCCGGATCCCTAGAAATCCTAAACCCTAATCCGGTCGATCTTGCGACAATGAGCTACGTTGTAAACGTGATAAATACAAAGTGTGCGTATATAGCTACCGAGGTGATTCGTGGTGCATCGGTTTGGCAGTTTTCGTCGTTAGTCCTTCCCTCTCCGACGGCTCTCTCGATCGTCTCTAAGTTTCGTTTGATTTTCCGCTTTCTCGCGAGGAGTCTCCCTGCTTGTATATGTGTGTGGTGTGTGTGTGTGTGTGTGTGTGTGTGTGGGTGGTATGTCTATATACCTGTATTTATGCTTCTTTGGTTTTCAGACGAGAGAAACAAACGTACAAAGAGGGCGCGCCAAGTCTATATAGTTCCCTTTCGCTGTAGCTTCTCTTCGTTATATCTCCTCGTCGATCGCGCGAGATAGATACATCGTTAAGCAGCTTGGACGTCCAACCTGCTGGGTTCTTAGGCCCGCGGCCGTCCTTAAAAGGAACGGAACAATGTTCGCGTGAACAGTCGGCTCGCGTTAACATCTGCGTTCTCACAGCCGACTGAACTGTCACACTTGTTGAACTGACACACTCCTCCGGCCGGCGACTTTCCAGCCTTGCTTCAGTTAGATCGCACGTATCCAGTTATATACATGCAAATCAGGAGAGAGAAAAATCAGCCGACCGTTTCCTCGCTGATCAGCCCGGCTCGGCTCGCGCGACGCGAGCCTCCTCCTCGCGTTCCTCGGCGCGAGCAGCAGCCGAGTACGTTCGCGCGAACTTCGCCGGGTAGAAATATCATCAAGATCCTTTCCTCTCTCCTCTCTCTCTCTCTCTCCCTCCCTCCCTCCCTCTCTCTTATCAAGAGAGATTCGCTCTCGCTCTCTCTTCTTCCCGCCTCTTTCGCTACGTAGTACGCGTTATTACACTAAAAGCGCGAGATACAAAACGAGATAAAGTCCCTCAGTCTTGAAGAAACGTCCGAGTATAATGGCGGCAACGCAGGATCGGAGCTTCAGGGAACGCGAGCGCAGGCGGAGAGAGACGTAACGAGTTCGTTGGTCGTCGATATCGTTTGCGAGGGATTGAGCATCTCGCACGCTCCGCGCCGTTCTCTCGCCGCTTCCTCCTCGGCTCGCAGGTGAGCGCGCGCGCAGATAACCAAAGAAAAAGGACACGACCGTCTCTCTCTCTCTCTCTCTCTCTCTCTCTCTCGCGCGCGCGCACGTCTCGTACGGATGCCAGCTGCGCGCCTCGGATCGGACACGCGGCGTTATCACGGCGATTTCACGGCCCGCTGAATGATATCGCGCGGCGAGCGCGACGATCCGCGCGCCCCCGCTCCCGCTCCCGTTGCTCCACCAAAACGACGCGTTAATACTGCTTACTTCGGCGACGCGCCGAGCGACCAAGAGAGAGACCCCCGACGCGCCTGGTCGTTCACCGGAAGCGGCGAACGATCGATTAGTCGCCTCGACATGTGTCACCCTAGCGCGCCGGTGCACGCGCTGCTTGAGCGTGGCGCGGATCGGTCGACTGTCGACTCGAGGATCGACCCGCGATCTTCCACGGGGACGCTGCTTACCTTGGCCGTACGCCCCGTTAAATGATTCGTGGTTTGTGCGCCGCGATAATTAGGCACCGCGCCGGTGACGCAAGCGGCCAAATCCAGGCGGATAAAAACTGACGATAAAGGAGCCGTTCCCTCTCGGTCTCTCGAGCGCGTGGAGGAGCCCGGGCCACCCCCCGGGCGATTTCCGGTCGCGCGGTCTTCATGGTTGGTCAGCTTGCCTCTCGCGAGGAAATATCGCTCGCGCAAAGTGCGCGAGAGTCGTCGCGCGAGTCCCTCGTCGTAACGACGTGCCCCCCGAGCCGGGGGGAGTCGCCGCGATTCTCCCCGTTGTCGACGGAGGGAAGTGCGCAATTCGGGCGGCAGATCCTGGCGTGTCGCCTGCATGGGAAGCCATGGGGCGTCTCACGCGGCCCCCCGGCGGATGATCGTCGACTGCGCGAGATTATGGGCGTCGCAATTTCATGCATTTCAAGCGGAGACGCGCGGCTTACAGCTCCTCGGACAGCGCGATCGGGGCTCTGGAGCCAGGCTTCATGTCCTTCACCCCGATACCGATGTCGTCCACCGGCGCTGGCGCCAATTTCAATTGATTACCGTTTACCTTGATGTCGTTGACGGAATGAGAACGGCCGTGGGTGACCAAGGGCTTAGTGGTCTGATTAGTGGTGCTGTTCGAGTTGGAGCTGGTGATCGAGTTCGTGCCGGGGCTCGAGACGGAATTCGAGCTGGGATTGCAGTTCGCGGTGGTCGTCGAGCTGGAACTGGAATTGGAGTTACTGTCCTGCGCCGGACTCGGATTAACCGAATGGAGATTCGGATTGGGTATGGACTTCGATCGCGATTTCGCCTTGGGATTCGCGCACGACGTGGAGTTCAGAGCCGCACCATGATCCGTCTCGCGGCTGGGCTCGGAGGACGCGGAGTCGGGGGACACGGACATCTTGCCGGGGTTCGTCGTCGACGTCGTCGACATCGTCGTCGTCGTCGTCGTCGCCGCCGCCGCCGCCGCCACCGCCGCCGCCGTCGTCGACCTTGACGACCCGGTGAGCGTTGTTAGTTGATTAGCGGACTGGGAGCGAATCGCGTGGCTGCCGAGCTTGTCCCTCAATGCCATCTGATAGGCTACCTCGAAAGCTTGGCCCAGAGTCAGGATGACCTCCGTCGCCTGATCCTGCAACACGGAGACACAAGCGGCGCGGGTGCGCCTGAGGCGTCTCGAGCAGACGAGCGAAAGAACGGAAAGCGCGAGGGAAGAAAGCGTAAAGAGTTGCGAGAGACACTCTCAGGATGAATATTTACCATCGTTGGCACGCAAAACACGTGACAGAAGTGCGTGCGGCTGGCGTGATCCTTCGTGATATACGCGAAGTGTGTGAGATCGTCGGCGTCTTGGCAGGCGCAGTGGATGTTGCGGATTTCGTGCTCGCAAATCGGCTCCTGTCGTGCAGCAGAATTACGATAAGACGCTCTTTCGTTCTAGGCGCGCGCGCGCGCGCGCCAATCATTTTTCGCGAGAGAAGGAGACGAGCCTTACGTTGGTCAGCGTGTTGAGAAAACGCACGCCACGGTAAGAGATCGCCAGGGTAATGTCGGGGGTGACTCTGGGCTCTCGAAAGCTCTTCTTCAGCTTCTGTATCGACTTCTTCGTCGACTCGGTGCCGCGCAGCTCCTTCACGACGGTGGAGCCGAGATACTGTGTCGTCGTTTCGAAACAGAAAGAGCTCTTTTTCTCTCCTTCGAGACGAGAAGGACGACGGACGGCGCGGACGCTCGATCGGAGGATTGCTCGCGGGATTATCGGTCGCGGGTGGAGAAAGCGAGAGAGACACGCAAACTGCATTATTTAGTTAAGCCAGTCGGAACGCGCGCGAGCGAGCGGAGTCCCTCTCGCAGTTTGGAATATTCCGAGAAACTAGCGGCTTTCAGACAGAGGCAAGGCGATCTTCCGCACGAACGAGCCACCATTACCGCGGCGTTGACCTTGACGACCCCGATCTAACGAGCGTCCATAATTCGCCGGTCGTGCATAATTAACGGAACAGCATGAGATTAACCCGCAAACTTGCGCAGCCATCGAGACGCCACGCTCGCTGCTGGTCAACGACCAGCATTTTACACGAAGAAACGAAGCGCCATCAGCCGCACGACAATCACCCACAATCCAAAGGGATCCCTAGGTATCCGCGTGTCGACTCGAAGCAGCGCGAAGAAACGCGAGACGCGATTCGCCATCGAGAGCGACCGCGAGCGACGCTTCGAGGAGCAGAGAGCTCCCGCGAGGATGCGGGGGATGCGATAGGTGGTGGTGGAGGGTGACTTACATTGGCGACGTACGTGACACAGCCGGTGACTAGAGTCTTCGGCTGGTGCCTCCACTGCGTCTTGAGGGTGGACGGCACGCCGAACAGCAGCTCGGACGGGGCCCTGATCTCGAGCTGCTCCGGCGCCGAGATCGCCCCATTATGCGAACTGGGTCGCTGGGGTGGCTGGGGCGCCGGTCTGTTTTTGCGATGCCTCAATGTGCCCGTGGCCGTCGAATTCGCTCCGGTTATCGACGTGCCTCCTCCGTCCGCCGTTGCTTCCGGCAATTTCTCCTGTATCTCCTCCTTCAGCTGCTGTATGTTCGTCTTCTACGGAAATAACGGCGCGACCAGATTTCAGTGTGCCGTCCCCGCGATCCCGAATTCACAGTCGGAGGAAGCGACAACCCCCCGCGAGCGCGAGTCACTCCCGCTCGTCGGGGAGGACGCGATCTCCTCGTACTCTTCAGCGTGGAACGCACGTAGGCGCGCGCGGGAAACTACGAAGCTCCCTCCCCTCGTCACGCGACTCCCCTTCTCCCGGCGAACGGGGGCGCAAAACCCTTGCTCCTGGACATTTTTCTGTTACTGCGCAGGATATTTAAATTGTTCGCGAAATTTATCGTCCGCTCTCCCGCTCTCCCGCTCTCAAACGTTTCGCCGGAGAGGAGAAATGCGGAAAAAAAAAAAAAAAACAAGAAAAGAGACGGAATTTCGTGCCGAAGCAGAGTTGCGCTTTTTTGCACTCTGTCTCCCTCTCGCACCTCCTCGCACTCCATCTCTTGCAGATAAATTCGAATTTCCGTGCGATTCTCTATAGAAACGGCTATACCTGCCCCGAGGTCGCAATTTCTCTGGCAGATATTTTTTCATAGCTTTATCGTGACAAGAATCGGTCGTACCAACCGGCTTTAACGAAACGCTCGGACATACGCGATGTGAAAAAAAAAAAAGAGGGGAAAAAAAATATTGCACTACGCGAACTTTTATACGACATATTACCAAGTCGAATTCGTGCCGGGTTTACTTTGTGCGGCGTGCAATTACCTTCGTAAACGCATTGCGTTGTAAACCGCACATGCGTCCACACGCTACGCCAAAAAGAAACCTTTTACCGGCTATGCCAAAACGCGCATCATGTAGCGTCGATAGTCACGATATTTCAGGTATTGCAAACAAATTGGATTCGGGCCGAACGGGCGCGACACTCGAATTCGGATTACAAGCCGAATCGTCCGCTCCATCTGGCTTCTGCATATAATTCCGGGGATCACCATCGACAAAATTGCAAAAGACTCGCACGGGAGGGAGATGAAATGAAAGCGCGAGAGGAACAGAGAGATAGAGGCAGATAGATGGATAGATAGATAGGTGGATGGATGGATGGGTGGGTGGATGGATTGATAGATAGAGAGAGAGAGAGAGAGGGAAAGAGGGGGGAGAGAGAGAGAGAGAAAGAGAGAGAGAGAGAGAGAGAGAGAGAGAGAGAGAGAGAGAGAGAGAGAGAGAGAGAGAGAGAGTAGAGCAGAGTAAAGTTTATTGAGACTCGGGGGCTCAAAACCCCTTAGATTTTACAGTAATGCGAACGATGAGTGGCGGATTACATGCAATGAAGTTAGCAGTTACGAGGATTAGAAGTAGCCAATCTAACGCGCGGAACGGTAAAAGGTAAATATTTAACCAAGTGCTATATGTATAGGCGCATTTGAATATGAAGCAGGTTTGCGGAAAATGGACTCGAAAAGAATGCTCGTTGCCTAGATAACTCTAGGCTCGTGGCGAAATCGATCGGAATCCAAAGACTATACAGGGTGTCCGGGATCTTTTGGAAATGAAAAATTGTGAAGATTAATCAGATGAAACTGAGAAGAAAAGTCAAGTATCATTTTGCAAAAATCGCAATAGTTATCAAGTTATTAATGATTGAAAAGGACCGTATGTAGAGGTATTTTTTAATTGATAATTTGAAAATCTGCGTACTTATTTGCAAAATGGTAAAGAACTTTCTTGTTCTACAATTATACAATAGCTATTGTGCCTAGAGTTCAAAGTTCAATATATTCGTATCTGTCGCTAGACTTAATAACCGTGATATAATTGTAGATCAAGTTATTTTGAACAAAAAAGGTTGCAAATAAGTACGCAAATTTTCAAGTTATCAATCAAAAGAACCTCTAGATGTGGTCATTTTCAATTATTAACTTAGTGACTATCGCGATTTTTGCAAAATGGTATACGTAACTTTTCCTCTCAGTTTCTCTCAGATCTGATTAATCTTCACGATTTTTCGTTTCCAAAAAATCTCGGTCATTCTAAACAAAAAAGTCCTTTAATATTTTGCAAATAAGTACGCAAGTTTTCAAGTTATCGATTAAAAAATCCTCCAAATGTGATAACTCTTAATCATTAATAAATGAATAATTACTAGAATTTTTGCAAAATGGCACGCGACTTTTCTTCACAGTTTGACCCGATTGACTCACACAATTTCTTTTTGTTTCCAGAAAATCCCGGGCACCTTGTACAAACGCAACGCAGGTTGGACGCAAGTGTCAGAAAATAGCGGATCTACATACCGAATAGAGAAAGGCGAAGATACAAGTATAGCGCATCGACTTTCAGCGTAGAACTCGCGCGGGTGAGCGGGGGAGCAGAGGTATCATCAAAGTAAAGCAAAATTTGTCGACCGCAGCCGTATACGCGTATGCGGTCGCGAGGTGGTAATAACGAATAAACGCAAGATATCGGCAACGGGGGAGAAAGGAGGAGGGGAGCGGGAGGGAGGGGGAGAGCAAGAGCACGTGAAACTTGGATGTCGGCGCGCACAGGCGACGGCGGAAATCCGCGGGTGTTACTGCGAGCGAGAGAGCGGCGGAGAGTCGCAAGGTACGGTTCGCCGGGTCCGATAGCTGCGAAAAATCGAGGGTAGGGTGGTGGCTGTTATAGGACAGCAGAAGAGACCAATTTGTCAGGATTATCGAGCGCGAGGATGACGCGAACCGACTGAATCCGGTCGCCGGAGACGTTTACGGGATTTAATGAGCTAATTAAGAGGACACGGCCGGTGGGGGACGAGCGAGCAGCGCGAGATGTACTTATCGACGCCTGGCGCACGGTGCGGGGCATCCGAACAAAAAGCATCGAGAGGCGCTCGAGCGATGCCGCTTCCCCGGGAGAACACATGTACGCGCGCGCGCGCGTCACAATGCCGGGCCTCCAATTAGCCGCGATATTTAGATTACGACGCGATCGGGCGAAACGCGCGTTCGCCTGCGATCGAGCCGCTGCCGCGGCGTCGTGTCCGCCCCCGTCCCCCCCCCTCTCCCTCCTCCCGCTAACGCCGAGCGCGAGTTACCCTCGCCGGGGTAAAGTGCGCACCCTCGTCAGACATCCCCCGGATTCGACGTATTATCCTCGCTCATCGATCCTTTCGACGTCTCAATTTGCGAGGCGACGAAAACGCGCTATCGTTCCCGCATTTATTTCCCCTCCCTCCCGCCGCATCGCTCGCGCGCCTCTTCACCCCGTTCAATCGGTCGACTTTCATCGCGGAGCGCTGAACGCTGGAGAAACGCCATCTTCGCCACCGCTCGCGTCCGCGACTGTCTTTGAGAAGGCGAGAGGTTCCAAGGATCAAAGCGTGTCTCTTCGGAAGCTCGCCACGAGCGGGTCCTTGAAGTCGTGCAAACACAGCGCCGACAGACACTCCGGCTTGACATCGCTGTCAGAAGCTGGGCTCGATCTCCGACTTACCAGTGTGTTGAGGTCCTTGTTCAAGTCCTCCAGGTTCGGCCCGGTGCCGTTTCGAGTTTGCGCGCGCGCGTTCGGCCCGCTGACGGACGCGAGGATGCGTTTGCGGTGCGCCGGCTTCTGGATCTCCAGCACCGCCGCCAGCTCGACCTCCCAGACCCGCCTGACCCGGTCCATGTCGGTGTACAGGTGCTTCCTGAACGTCTCCGCGTAATTTTCCAGGTGAATGCTCTTGAGCCACTCCTCCACTGACTGGCCGTGACCGCCGCTGCGCTTTTCCACTCGTTTGTTCAGCAGGCCGACCGCGTCCGCGATCACCGTCCGCTCCTGGTCGCTGCTAATGCCCATGTCACGCAGGTCCGACTCGTCCAGCACGCCGTTCTGCAAACGCGCAATTAAAACGATTTTCCTCGTGCGCCGCTCGCTCGACGGTGGCCGCCGGTCGCGCGATCGCGCCGCGCCGCGCCGCGCGCTGCGCACGCCTACTCACTATGAACTCGAGATCGTCGAAGCCGTAGTTGACAAAGAGCGACTCGTAGTCCGCCAGACCTAAGCTGGACAGCCACTGACCCACGGACGTGGAGACGATGGGGCTGCTGCTAGTGTCTGAACTCAAACCTGAGACGTAGAAAATGGCAAAGACGTTTCCTTCGCTCTACCGGGTGTGTACCGGGGACGCAAGCCGCAGTCCGGCGCTCGTGTTAGACGCAGGTTAGGTCGAGCTGAGGGCAAAACTCCTCTTCGTCCGCGCGAAAATGTGGAGCGGCCACATCTTTGAGAAAGCCATCGAAACTGTTGTTACGGGGGGGGTCGCCCGATAGATGGACTCAAGCTGGACGAGAGAGTGCTGTACCGCTTTGCGAGTGGGTTCGCGTAGTTGGTTTTGAGCAGGGTTGGAAAGTAACTCGTTACTTGTAACGAAGTTACAGTTACAGTTATCTTTCTTTTTTTCTTTTTGGTAACTATAACCTAACCGTTCGTTCCGCTTTTTCCATTTGTAACTGTAACTTGACTTAGTTACATTTGTTTGATAACTAGTAACTAATTTAATAGTTGCTTTAATAGTTACCTTATATATTTCAAACTTAAGTTTCTGGCGAACCAGCGCGATAACGCAACGTGCGATTCTTGATATCCAATAAGCGTACAGTTATTCCGACTGCATTTGGAAAACACGCTGTTGCGTCATCTATCTTTATCGTTCATTAGATGTAAGACAAGGATAAAATGACGCAATAGCGCTGATAGTCTCCTCTCCGAACGCAACCTGTATTTCTTTCAAAAAAATTGTACGCCCATTGGACATTTCCGTCGCGCGTCGCCAGTCCTTATTTATTATATTAACATAACCTGCGTGCAGCGTGAAGTGCGCGCTGCGTGGTTTCGATTATATAAAAAATTCAAGCAATAGATAAAACATCTCAATCTCCGGAGAAGGATTGTAAAATGCCATGGCCGGTATACGCAGAAATATTCGAGTTACTGCAAAAACTTGGAAACGAGAACAACCGAGCATTTCTCTGTCCACTTGTTATTAATAGCCTTAAAGAATAAATATGAATTGCTTATTTAAATTAATAAATCTAATTTGTAAAAATTATATACAATATAGAGAGAGAGATATAACAAAATCAACAAACCACTTTTATATAAAACTGAAGGAATTTGCACAATTACGAAATTTAAAACAATATCACTGTTATATTGTGAAAAAGTAACGGAAAAGTAACGACTCGTTATTTTTTAAATAACTACAACTGTAACGTGTTATTTTTGAAGGTCAGTAACTTGTAACTGTAAACTAGTTACTTTTTCAGTGAAGAAAACTGCAACTGTAACTAGATACTTTTACAAAGTAACTTTCCCAACCCTGATTTTTATTCAAGTTACTAATTAGGAGATATCGCGTTGCTTTTTGATTATCGCATGGTCATCAGCCAGTAATCTTCCTCGACGAACGACTCGCGCGGTGGATCGGCAGAGTGAAACGAAAGGACTTTTCCTCAGTTTGACCCAGCGTGCGGCCACGGCTTGCGTCATACACCCTGTGTGTGCCAGGAAAAGAAATGGAACCAAGAATAAGAAGCTCGTGAGAGAGTGAGAGGAGTGAGTGACTTCGGTGCGCGACTTTGGAAAGCGCGGTCCGCCTCGGAAGAGCCGAGCGCGAACGTTACAACGCGATCGGGGGAGGCAGGGAAGAGGATGGTGCGTGCGCAGGACGGTTGGAGATTACCTAGCCTCGTCTGGAACTCTTTCTCGAGCTCACTGACGAAGACCGACTCTCGCACGAGGCCGGTCCCGAACGACGCCATGATCTCCGAGATCTTCGCCCACTCCTCCTGCTCGTCGAAGGGACTCATTATGCTGAGAGACTTCTCGTCCCGACTGTCGCGATCCCGCTCGGAAAGCCGAAAGGAGACCTCGCCGTCCTCAAGACGATCTCCGCCGTCACCGCCGCCGCCGGTCCCCATCCCGCATGCGGTCTGACCGTAGACGTTCCGCAAGCGGCGCAAAGTACGCGGCCGTTCAGCCGTGACGGAACCCTTTAACAGACCTATTGGCACGCCGACAGATTACTATGAGGCAAGCGCTCCCCTTTCCCACGATCTGATACGACATCGCTCGCTCTTTGCAAGTGCATCTTCATACAGTGCGCTTAAAAGTAAAACGGCTCTCAGTGCGTCTCTATCGAGTACTGTGAGTTATCGAGCGGCGAATCGATACCGCCGCTCAATGCCGCCGGGCGAGAGGACGTGGGAGTGACTGTACACTTTACAACAGCTTATCAACATCGCGAGACTCTACGCGCGTGTAACATATTCTTATATATATTTCTCGCGCGTGCGCGCGCGCGCGCGCGCGCGAGCGGCGAGTTTCGTGCGGCGAATCGCGCGACTCGCGCGATCCTTGCGAAAGTCTTTCAGTCTTCGAGTCGGCGTACTTCAAAGTTTGCGCTGACTGGTGACTAGCTGTGTTTTCCTCCTTCCCTCTCTCCCCCCCTCCCTCTCTCTCTCTCTCTCTCTCTCTCTCTCTCTCTCTCTCTCTCTCTCTCTCTCTCGCTCTCCACTCCGCAATTTCGACAGCTCTCGAGCGCAGACATATCGACTACCTGGCGGTTCCTCTCATAATGCATATGCAGCGAACCGGCGGATTTACAGATGCGTTGAATATTCATTGCAGATTCGTCATTGCTTGATGCCCCGGTGGGAATTAGCCCGCGGGAGGCAATCAAGACTATCTCGTGACACCGCGATCGTTAAACAATTACGTCGGCGTTCTTAACGGCGGGCTTTGCGACTTTGAGTTGGCGCGGCCGGGTAACGCCGAGTGTGCTCGCGTCGTGTCTGTGTCACGCGAGAAGACTCGATAATCGAATTGAGAAGCCTCGGTCTACAGATGTCGAGCAGCAAAGAAGAAGTCAAGTACAGCTGTTCAGACGTAGCTTCCGGTGCAGCTGGATCGGCGAGGGGAAATATTAGGCCGGTGCAAAAATAATTGCGGTTTTTATCACTTTAAATTTGGCGCCGATTTTTCTAGTTGTCTTTTCCAGAATTCTATCTGGTGGGAATAAACAAACTTGCTTCCCATTGGAAGAAATGTGTGCAAGCCAATGGTCTTCATTTTGATTAATAAATATTAACTGTACAAATGAATAATCCAAATTTTTCAGCTCTCAATTCAAGATTTATTTAAAAAAAAAAGTAAAACAAATTTGTCAATCAAGATAATCGCTGTTGTTCCTTATAACTTTGAGCCATCTTTCAGGCAGCTGATGAATCCCTTGTCGGAAAAATGTTACGACTTTGGACACGATAGAGTCGTCAAGCCATTTTCGAATCTCATCCATTGACTTGAAGCGCGTATCGGACAAGGCATGTTGCATCGACCGGAACAAGCGGTAATCGGTAGGAACGATGTCTGATGAATACGCCGGGTGCTGCAAAACGTCTCAGCCAAGTCTCATTATGACGTCTCTTGTCGTAGAAGCAATATATGGCCAAGTGTTATCATGCAACAATTTCACAGGACGTTCTCCTTTGCCACTATATGGGCGTTTTTGTTCTAATTCTTGACTCAAACGGATTAATTGGTGTTGCTAGCGGTGCGCAATAATTGTTTCATTCGGTTTTAATAGCTCATAATAAACCACACCCTTCATATCCCACCAGATGCAGAGCAGAATCTTTTTTCCAAAGTGTTTTGACTTTGCGACCGATGTGGATGGTTCGCCGGGATTTATTCATGACTTTCCGCGCTTTGGATTGTCATAGAGTATCCACTTCTCATTGCCCGTAACAATTTTCCACAAGAAAGACTTTCAACGCTGTTTATTGAGAAGAGGAAGACACACTGCCTTGTCGGCTTCAGTAAGTTCATGCGGAACCCATTTTCCTTCTTTTTAAATCTTCCCCATTCCGTGTAGACGTTTGGAAATAGTTTGTTGCATTACTCCTAACTGCTATGCAAGCTCCTTTTGCATTTGTGTTGAATTCTCAGCGAGCAGTTGTTCCAAATCATTATTGCCGCACTTCCGAGGACCTCCAGGACGTTTTTTGTCACTCGGACTGAAATCGCCTTTTAAACCGTCTAAATCAAAATGCACACACATCGTACGGTGCAACACCTTTGCCGAAAAAGGAACAAATCGATTCGCATGTTCTTGCAACATTTTTTCCTTGGAATTCGTAAAGAATGTAGTGTCGGATATGCACCTTATCTGTTGCCATTTTTTACTGTACTGAACTGAATAATTTTTGAGGTTATGTAGAGCCTTCCGCCATACTAAATGTAACTTTTAACAGCTATATGTCAGCACTATGTAACTGTAAGAGAGCGGGAAATTATTTGAAACTTAATTTCTTAGCCGCTTAAAAAAGTTTGGATTATTCATTTGTACACCTGATATAATTTTTAATCGATATATGCATCTTTATACTCGATAGGTAAAAACCGCAATTATATTTGCACCAACCTAATATTTGAGACCCCGCGCGACGCTGCACGCACTTTCTCACACCGCCCCTCTTTCCCCCCCCCCTCTCTCTCTCTCTCTCTTTCTTTCTCTCTCTTCTTTCTGTCTTCCTCTGTCTCTTCGAGGTGAAAAGATATTCAACGTACGTTCCGGTGGCTCTTGTCGTAATTTCCCCCTCAAACACTCAGACGCGGCATTCCTTCGTGCCGCGCAAGTGCGAGTAATTTCCCGATTTCCTCCTTTTCTCGTTCCTTTCTCTCGCGGCCCTCCGCTCATTTATCACGGCGCCACGCATCCCGCGTAAAAGAGGCGCTTGTTAGAGGCCCTGCTCGCGGACGCCCTTCAAGGACGATTCGTTGTTCGCGACAATCGGCGTTCCGCAAGTGCGATAGAAATTCCCTCATACGAATTTCGCAAATGAGGATTCGCCGGCAGAGCGGAGAAGAGAAGAAAAAGGACCAATTGAAGTGGCAGCCGCGGATGCTCTTTCAAAGACGCCGTGCGTCCTCCTCCTCCTTCTCCTCCTCCTTCTCCTCTCCAGAGAGCGCAAACACGCTCAGACACACGCGCGCGCGACCATAATGAAAAGCTCATAAAAATATTAAATAGAAGCGAGGAGAAGGCGAGAGAGAGAGAGAGAGAGAGAGAGAGAGAGTGACGTGTGCGCGCGTTACGAGAGGCAAACGTACGTAATTTTAATTAAAGCTCCATCGCGGAGAGCGTCGCCTGCTTACCGCCGCTCTCCAGCCAGCCGCGTTATATTATGTAGGCAGTTATTCAAGTCATATACACAAATTACTACATAAATCCTCGTCTTCCACGCCCTCGTCGGCCTCTTGCTCGTCCCTCTTTTAGCCAGCGCCGAAGAGAGACTTAACCGTTCGACTTTGCGAGAAGTGACGACCGAGACGACTCGACGACACGTCAACGAGCTCGCGCTCGCGTGGATTTTCGCGCTGTGAAAGCGTGAAAATGCGATCGCCGTTACGATTTGTCAGTCAGTTAAGCCGAATGGCCTGTAATACGAGCATAAAGTGAACGTAACGTAACGTCGTCCGAAATCGCAACGCTTTCATACGCGAGTCTCTCGCGTCTCCGACTCGCGAGGTCGTTAATCTCGCCCAGGTTATTAGAGGAGAGCATAACTTCCGCTCATCCCGGCCCTCCTTTTTCGCCGCTGAGGACCTCGCACGGTCCATTAAAGCGATCCGCGAGCGATTCCGCGATTCTTGCGAGCCGTAAACATTAAAGCAATCCTCGCGTAAATAAGTGCATGCGTCACGTGAGTTCCACTCGCGGGGGGGCTCGCGGAAGAACGAGACGGAGAGGAGGGGGGGGGCGGGGGAGGCTGGATTTCAGTGGATATTAAAAACGTACGAGCGTATTATAAGCGGCTCGTAAATGGTGCGCCGTTACATTTTTCGAATCCGTTCTCCTGGTGGCGCGCGCGACTGCGAATCGGCCCTGCGGAGGAGTTATTAAAATCCGCAATAAACCCGTTCGGTCTTACGCCGCGAGTCGCCGGACGGAGGATTGTAAAAGCCGAAGATAAACAGCGGCCAGCGGTCGCGGGAAACATTGTGTCTGCCGGCGAATCCGTCCGAATTGCACGGGAATTTGCCGGGAATCGTGCGACCTCCCGTTCACCGGAAGCGAATGTCCCGCTCCCTCTCCCCGATCCGCCGTCCAAGTTCATATCCACGATTTTATACTAGAATAAGTTCGGCATAAATGGGCATAGAGGATAGGTGGACAATTGTTATAATTTTGTTAATATATGCTTGTATGTTAATATCGGTTACTTGTGAGTTGGAGCGTGTCTCTTCCTGATGCACAAAAACACTGTTATTGTGAGTAAATAAATGTTTCATGTTTCTATTAACTTTTAGAGGACCGGGGGGTGGCTCCTACAAGAGCCACATATAAATCGGCATTCAGTGTTATTAAAGGTTATATTATAGCTATTTATGCATTTATGTCGATGTTTATGCGCTCTAAAAATATATTTACATATGTGTTCGTGTGATTTTTACCTTACTTGTAAATACACATTTATTAACAAGTACACATTTTGACTGCATAGTAATTTGCATCTCAGTACATTTTTCTTTATAATAGACCCATTTTCTCTCAGAATTATATAAAATCAGCACACAACACTATTACAGTTTTGATTACGCACAGTGCGTGATAACAATCATTCTAAAAGTAACAAAATAAGTATAAAAAATACAGAAAAATAGTTTTGAAATAAAATAATTTTCATTATTTTTTAAAACCAAAATTTAAAAAAAATTATAAAAAAATAAAGAAATTTAAAAAATTTTTAAATAACAAAAAATATAAAAAAAACAGAGGAGCTACATAACTCTCTACGTCCACGTCGTTAGCTCTGAGTTATGCTAAAGGAAAGTTTTATTACCGTATGAGATTATTTATAGTAATATAGACTTATTTTAGGTAAATAATTGCCTTTCTTCGTAAAATTTCGATAATCTGATATCAAAATGATGACCAGCGATTTGAAAAAAACATCGTATTTGCATACTTAACTTCAAAATTCTCTCATCAAGACTACGTTT